AGTGATGGAATTAGGACCCCAGAGACCCTCCTAATCTTAGTGCTATTGAGTCCTCATAGCATATCCTCTAAGATGGCGTCAGTTTTTGGAAAAGAAATAGTTTCTGTAGGGTGTGTGTGCATGTGTATGGCTGAGCTTGTTAAGTATCTGGAATGCACAAGCATTTATATAGAAGACGCTCTTTTAATTTATGGCTACATTGTAAACTGTCCGGATAGTTGGAAACTCTTTACAGCTCATTATGAATGCCATAGGCAGTTTCTAAGTGGTATACACCTTGGAAGACCCCTGTGGCCTCTGTCTGTTTCTATTAATATGCTTGTTTAGTTCTTTTGAGTATGGGCTGGGATTTAAGGAGTGCCTTTTTGGAACCCATCCATAGCCTTCTTATAAACCATCATTCCTAAGATAATACTGTGACTTCTGTTTGGGTGATACAAGGAAGCCATTTGGCATGCTGTTGGTACCTTTAGGAGATGTGCGTGCTACCAGGAGCAGAGAGGACATCCAGAGAGTCAGGACCTGAGGCCTTGCTGACAACCACGTGAGTGGCCTGGAGGTGAATGCACACCCAGGTGAGGCCTAAGATGCATGAAGCCCTATGGAAGACGGTGAGCCGAGGCATTCAGGCAGGCCAGGCCTGGATTCCTGACCAACCAACAGGGAGAGGATGAAAGTCTGCTGCTTTGGAGGTAATTTGTTACCGCAGTAACAGATCATGAATGCGGAGGCCAAACAGAAGTCATTCACGAGGCATTGTTGAAGGATCTTTGGGAAGACTGCCTGCCAGGGACTGGTCGGCTAAACTGACTGCATGTCGTGGCGTGGAACTAGACTGTACCTTTAGATAGCTCTATGGCCTTTTTGCTCGGCAGTTCAATTTACTTACATTCTGTGTGCCTCAGTCTCCCCATCCATAACATAATGAGAGTGGTCAGCAGCTGCCTGGAAAGACAGGTACAAGAATGGAAAAACCCTTACACACCCTTCAGTGCTGGAGCAAATTTCACTATACCATCATTATGGGGGGGGGGAGGGGCTGTTACTGAAGAAAGACCATTAATGACGTCTGGATTAAGAAGGAAAAGAGGATGTGGGTAAGGCTCACCAAGGCCTTGAAGGCTGAGTCATCTGTCTTGGGAAAGAGGGTTCTTCTCTGAAGATTAAGTGTCCGTCTCGACTGAAACATGACTTTGCACACCTTAGAGCTTCGATAGAGATGAGAGGGTACAGAAACTCTTACTTGCGTTTCAACGATCGAATTCATCTTTCGAGAGTCATCTATTTCACAGCATGGTTGAGTATTCCAGAAAATGTCTGTTTTGTTGTTGTTGCTCTGGGATAATCGTTAAAACAGGCCGTTTAGTCACACAAATTCCTAACAGCCTACCTTGGGGTGGGAGGTATTTGAGATGGGGATCAAAGGGGAAAATGTCTGGTTGAGAACAGGAGAGGCAGCATGTGTTGAAAGTAGCATTTATTTTCCCAGGGAAAAGCATGCATTACACTTACAATGGGGGTTGGTATACGCTTGCTCAAAAAGCACTCGTGGAAAAGAAGCACTGTGGCATAGGCCTTTAATCCCGACACTAGGGAGGCAGAGGCAAGTAGATCTCTGTGTGTTCGAGGCCAGCCTGGTCTACAGAGTGAGTTCCAGGCCAGCCAGGATAGTCATAGTGAGACCCTGTCTCAAAACAAACAAACAAAACAAAACAACAAAAACAAAATACCCTCCTCGAAAACAAAACAAAACTCCAAACCCCACCAAATGAACAACAACAAACATCAAGAAAATAAACTTGATATGGAGAGTGACCTCTGGGCACAGGCATCGCGGCTTCCAGACAAGGTGAGCAACAGCGTCCTTGGGCTGAGAAGTCTGTGCTGGTTAGTTAGTTTTTTGTCAACTTGACAAAAGTCAGGGACATCTGGGAAGAGGGAATCTCAACTGAGAAAATGCTTCCATCAAATTGGCCGGTAGGCAATTCTTGATTAGTGATTGCTGTGGGAGGGGTACCACCATGGACTGGTGTTCTTGGGTTGCGAGAAAAAGTAATGGGCATGGACAGCAAGGCAGCAAGCAGCACTCCTCCATGGCCTCTGCTTCAGTTCCTGCCTCCAGGTTCCTGCCCCGAGTCCCTGCTCTGACTTCTTTCCATGACGGAGTACAAGCTGTAAGAGGAAATAAACTCTTTTCTCCCCAAGTTGCTTTTAGTTATGGCGTTTAGCACAGCAGTAGAAAGCAAAGGAGGACCAAGTCCTAAATCACAGAACATGCTTTGCTTGGGCTTCTTGAAGTACTTAGCTTTAGAAAGGCCTGAGAAATAATCAGGATGCTGATGATCAACTTTTGAGGGGTTTCATGACCAAGGGTCAGGGAAGCAGTGATGGAGACCCCACTCAGACATACGATGTCTGTGCCTAGCACATTGGTTTGAAAAGACTGGATCTCGGGATGGCCCTGTGTGAGCAGCCGTCACTTAAGAAAGTTCTGGAGCCATTCACCATAAGGAAAATGTGTCCAGGTGACCTTTTCAGGTCCCTGCATTCCTATGATAATACATGTTTTAAGAAAAGCAAGATGTGACAATGTTTGTGATAACGCCCTATCCTAATGACAATAGGAACATGTGCATGCCATGTTCAAGACTAGAGAGGGTGGTGATGGAGAGTCTGTTATTGGTGGAAGTATTAAGGCAACTCTAAGTAGTTAAGAGGGAGGTTTATTTTGTGGGGTAACTTACAAGTGAAGGGATAGGCTACAGGGTCCGGGAAAGGTGTTCTCTGGAGAACTCTGCTCGGTCTACCTCCAGCGTCCAGGATCCAGGAACCAAGAGAGTTGGCACATCCAGATCTCAGGTCTTAAGGGCTCCCTCTCGGCCCTGCCTCATAGGCGTAGGTGTGACAGTTCCCGGAAGCCTCAGTGGGGGTAGTACTTCCAGGTCAAAGCTGGAACAGCTACCCACTACATTCGGTTGCACCCCCAGCAGGTGTCAGGGACCTTAGCCAATGTCCCCCTTCTTGTAACAGCTCTTCATTTCAGAGAGGTCATGCGCCTCAGATCCCACACCAACTCTTTGAGTGACCCCTCCCTCACTACTGCCGCAGTACAGAGAAAGGAGGGCAATATAGCATAAAGCAGGGGGGTCAGTATCTTGAGGGGTGGACTAGCCGAAGACAAATGTCATCTCAATAGCGATGAGTGTATTTGGTAGCAAGATGTTGGTTCCTCAGTGTCAGTCTCCATTAAAAAGAAGCAACCCTCATGGTGGCCCGCAACGATCGGTAATGAGATCTGATGCCCTCCTCTGTCATGCAGGCATACGTGCAAATAAAGTACTCATATTTATAAATAAGTAAATAAATAAATCTTAAAAAAATAAAATAAAAAGAAGCAGCACTCCTTGGAAAAGTGGCTGGTTCCTTGGCTCGAGCAAAAAGACCCTGTAATGTCTTGAAATGTCAGAAGGTAAGTACTCAGAGAATGAAAGGTTCGATATAAGGGCACGAGAGCCAGCCAGCTGTAGAGGATTCTATGGGCCTCACTTTGGGCTGAGTATGACATGTAAGTAATGATGGTTACGTCTTATAATCTCCTGATTAAGAATGCCCTGTCCCCACGGGTGCAGACTCAACAGAGGAGAAAGGGAAGCATGCTGGTCCAGAACACTAACAGTGCAGAAGGAATGCTGGGATAAACCTACAACACCAGACCTTAGCAATCACATCATGAACCAGGCTGCAATCAATAGCCCTCGTTTGTGTTAGGGAAAAATCGGAGGAGCAGTCATGTGATATTTATACAGTCTCAAAGGGTCTTTCAAAGAGACACTTGTGGAGGGGTTGGAGAGATGGCTCAGTGGGTCAGTATGTGCTGCTCCTGTGGAGGACCTGAGTTCAGCATCTGTATACCCACAGCCATTTGTAACTCTAGTTGCAGGGAACTGATTCCATTTTCTGATCTCTGTGGCACTAGGCATCCTTATGATGTGTATACATACATGCAGGCAAGTACTCATACATGTAAGTAGATTTTGTTGTTGTTGTTATTGTTGTGGTTTATGAGACAAGGTTTCTTCTGGCTGTCCTAGAACTCACTCTGTAGACCTCTGTAGATCCGTCTGCCTCTGACTCCTGAAGGGCTGGGATTAAAGACAAGCACCATCACTGCCCAGCAAATAGATTTTTTTTTTTTTTTTTTTTACAAAAGATACTTTAGTGGCTGCAGAGATGTGGACTGCTTTTGCAAAGGCCCAGGTGGATTCCCAGAATTCACCACAGACAACTCCCAATTGCCTGTTAACTCAAACTCCAGGGACTCTGAAATCCTTTTCTAGTCTCTGTGGGCACCTGCACTTACATGCACATACCCACATAAGGCACTCTCACACACAGTTAAAAATAAATCTTAAGAGGATATTTGCTACTTACAAAGAATAAAATATTTCAAACCAGGAGTCCAATCGATGAGAGAGAGGAGGGATTCTATGAACAAGGAACATCGAGATCATGATGGGAAAATGTAGAGACGGCCAGCCAAACTAGTGGAAACGCATGAACTGTGGACCAATAGCTGTGGAGCCTCCGTGGTACTGGACTAGGCCCTCTGCATAGGCAAGACAGTTGTTTAGCTTGACCTGTTTAGGGGGCCCCGCAGTCAGTGGGGTCGGGATCCATCCCTGGTGCTTAAGCTGGCTTTTTGGAGCCCAGTGCCTATGGTGGGACACCTTGTGCAGCCTTGGTGCAGGAAGGAGGGGCTTGGACCTGCCTCAGCTGAATGTACCAGGCTCCACTGACTCCCCATGGGAGACCTTGCCTTGGAGGAGGTGGGGATGGGGGTGGGTGGCTTGGGGGTGGAGGCTGGGGGTGCAGGAGGAGGGAGGAGGGGGGATCTGTGGTTGGTATGTAAAATGAACAGAAAATTTCTTAATAATAAAACAAAAAAAGAATAAAATAGCAATAATAGAGAAATTTTAAAAAGTTTAGGAAAAAAGTTGGGTATATGTGGAGATAATAGAATCGAAACGGGTCTGGAATCTGGGTGAAGATAATAAGTCTTTTTTTTCTTTTTGTACAGTTCTTGCCACTTTGCCTGAAACCATGCCAAACAATCATAATAAAGGCAGAAATGTACAGCAAGAATACTGTCTCAAGCGTGCCTTCTGTCTGTCTTTTGTTTTCCAGCTCCCATCACCCAGACCCGGGCCCAGAGAACAGAGTGTGGCACATTGAGGCTAAGAGAGCAGCATTAACATCCAGGCAAGAAAATGACAGGTCTCGCCAGGCAGTGGGAAATTCTGGGGGCGCAACGTGAAGCTCCAGCTGCAGTCTGTCGACGACGGAGGGTGGGTTGATGTCCAAGGAGCACCTGGAGTCTGTGAACCGCGCTGAAGGCAGAAACACAATCGAGTGCTGGATTCCTTTCTCAGGCATGAGGGCCAAAGCAGGACCCAACTCCCGTTCCACACATGGGAAACCCAGGCTCAGTGAGGTTCCCAAGGCTGCCCTTCAGTCGGACCAAAGTATGTGCTTTTGTGTGTGACTTTTGTGATTTTAGATTCTCTGGAAGCCATCAGCAAACAGTTGAATTGACACCCCCCCCCACACACACACACATACGCATCATCTGAGTATTTTTTTTCTAAGTCAGTGTTTTTAAAAAGGGTGGTCCAGAACCAGTAACAGCCGTGCCCAGACATTCCTTAGAGATTATGAATAAAGAGGCAACGTGATGGCTTAGTGGATAAAGGCGCTTGCCGCCAAGCCTGATGACCCGAGTTCAATCCACACAACCCAGACTTGCGTCGTGAGCACAGGCTGTCTTCTGATTTCCCCCGATTTCCCCTTGCGTGCTCATCCACACAAAATTAAAAAAAAAAAGTGATTAAGAATTAAAAAAAAAATGACCAACGAATAAGATTCTCCACTTCGCACTCCCTCAACCTTTTGGTTTGACCCTAGGAGTGGTGCCTAATTATCTATTAAATTAAAAAAAAAAGTGCACGCACGTGTGTGTGTGTGTGTGTGTGTGTGTGTGTGTGTGTGTGTGTGTGTGTGTGTGGTTTCGCGCCTGCGCTCGCTGTCAGAGAACACATTTCGAGCGTCAGTTCTCTCCTCCCACCATGTGGGTTCCGGGGATAAAACTCAAGCAGTCTGATTTGACAGCAAATGCCTTTATCTGTTGAGCCATCTCGTGGCCACTATCTGGATTTTAACGAGTGTTCCTAGTGATCTTGTTGCACGCTCAAGTTGGACAATCACTACACCCTATCGCTTCTTACGGCAATCGCCTCTGTAGCTAGAACTTTGCAAAGAAACGAGGTTAAAGTTTTTCAAAAGGCGTAATAAAGACCGTTCCCGCTGCATAGCTAACCCCGGGAATCGCTGGGTTTCTTCCAGGATAGGCTCGCACACAGGCTGGAGACAGCAGAGGGAAGAAGGGTCCACGGGAGTTGGGAGGAGGGACTGATGACAATTTTTCGTGGTTGACTAGGTTTTTGAAAAAGCGACTTCCAAGGGTACATTAACCAGCCAGCGAATCCACTTGTTTCGGAGGGGAGGTGGGAGGTGGGGGCGGGGGTGGAGCGTGGGGCGGAGCGACATTCGCAGCTCCGGAATCGGTGCCTTCCAAGTGGCGCCGCGCGTCCCCCCTCCCCCGCTCCGGATCTGCCCGGAGCCGGGCGCTCAAACTCAACTCTCCCAGCCAACCTCGCCACCTCTACGGTCTCCGGGACCGACCTCCTTGGAATTCCTCCCAGCCGGGTCGAGTCAAGGGAATATCCCAGATCGCGGGAAGCTGCCCGCCCCCTCGGCACCCCTCCTCCGGGTCTCCGCCCCCGCTGGGGCTGCCCGGTGCCAAGGGAAGCGAGGGCGCCGCGGCTGGAAAATGAGCGGTGCCCGCAGGGTGGCCCGGAGCTGCAGGTAACTGGCGTGGGACCTCGGGGGCAGCGAGCTCGGCGTCGCTGTCCCTTCCCTGCACGACCGCGCGGCGACCTGCTGCGCCCTCGCGCGGGCTGAGCCTTGGGGACCGCGGTGCCCCCGCGGGGCGCGGCGGGCGGGGAAAGGCGCGGACCCCTAACTCCGGGCAAGACCCCGACGCTCTCCGCTCGTCCCACAGCCACGGTCCCTCCCGCGCTGGTTCCCTCTAGCGTCGCGCAGCGGTGGCATCGGTGAGCGCGGTCCGCGCGGCCAATGCCTGGTAACATGGAGAAGTTTCTACAGATCGCGCCGCACTCTCTGGCCATCGTCCTGGGCCCAGCCGACAGCTCCGCCGAGGAGAAGCCCGGGGCGGTTCAGCCTTCGCCCTCAGCCCCGACCCAACCCCGGCAGCTCGCCCGACACCACATCGGCTACGAGATCTTCGCCGATTTCAAAGCGGAGAACATGCAACACTTCTGGAACAAGAAGGTCACGGCCGCGGTGGCCGAGACGTTTTTCCTGGGCTGGATCGACGAGCAGGTCCTGCTGATTCAGGGCAAGGAGGAGCATCTCGAGGCGCTGCGCGAGGGCTGGACGCGCAGGGCGCTGCGACCCCCATCCGGCTTCCAGATCCGCTGCCTGGGTGAGTGTCGTCGGGCTGCGGGGTCCCCGCCCTGTCCGGGGCTCCCGAAGGTGCTGAGCCGGCGCTTTGGTGCGAGTTCCCGGGGGTTCCAGGATCCTTGCGTGCTTCTCGGTCGGGGAGGGGTCCGCGGTGCTCAGGGAGCGCGGGATCGGGGGACTTCTGGGCACTTGAGCCACCCGCGTCACGGGCGGCCTGCGGAACCTCCTGGCGGCGTCGGTGGCGCGCCCCGCGGGGCGGTGCCTGGGGCTGGCCAGGTAGGCGGCGCGGCTGCTCGGCGGTGCGCGCGGGGGTCGGGGCTACGAGTGTCAGCTTTTCCGCGCCCCGTGGGCCTGGGGAGTGCGAGCCAGGCGGAGGGAAGGTGAGGAGAGTCGGGATTCCGGTAGCACCAGGTCTTACGCGGCCTGCCCTGCAGCTGCACCTCGGTGCCCGCGACATCCCTTCCCAGGGTGGCGACCTCGGAGGTGGGGGGGGCGCGTCGCTCAGCTCAGGTGTGTTGGCGCCGTTCTCATCCAACCGCATTTCCGTACCAGACAAAAGGTACGTTTCTTCTTAAATGTTTTGCTTGTGGTGCAGCTTCCAAAGAGCGTCGTGTGATTGAAGGCGGAGGGGGAAAAAAAAAAAAAAAAAAAAGACAGCAGAGAGGAGCCAGGGACAAAGTTTGAGCTTTTCGTTTGCTGGTGGCGAAGGAGAAAAGAAAACAGTGAGCGGAGGTAGCTGGAGAGGGGTTTTCGTGGTCGCCGCTCGGCGTTGCCTTGACTTGTGTTTTTATTTCGCTTCTACTTAACGTGTTTTTCTTAATCCCGGGCAACCTCGCGCTTGGAATAGTTTTTAGTTTTGGACCTTGGGCCCGGTGGCTAGGAGCAAACAGAGCACATAGAGATGTTTTATGAAACGATTCGATGAAGAAAGCATTCTTTCTAGTTCCAGGGCTTAAAAATTCTTTTATGACATTTTGGAAGGAGGTCAAAAGTTCACACTGTAAAAGCCTGTAAAGCGGCCTTGTTGGGTCCCTGCGCCTCCGGTGAAGGCTTAGCTTTTACCTGCTAATGTGTCTTCTATGCGGATGGCAAATTTATAGCATTTTTTATTTTGCTGTGTGTTGTCTATTTTCGCGTAGCGGAGGTTTGTTTTTGCAAACACTCCTTTGAATTGAGTAGATAAAAAGCTTGTGAAAGCTTGCTTCTTGCTGCGTCTCGAAGATCTCTCTCTCTCTCCCTCTGCTCCCCCCTCCCCCCGTTCAGCCCCTGTAATTATGCTGCCTGCCTTACTCAAGGGGCCGAGATTAGCGCCTCTGAGGGTTGGCCTGCCTGCTAGACTTGAACGCTTGGGGGAGAACCGTTGTCCCCATGTTTGAGCACCTTCAAGGCTTTTTCTACAGTATTTGGATAGTTTCCTTTGAAATTTGACCTCAGGCTTTTGTTTTTTAATTTGGCAAACTTCATCTATGTACAATATAATGCAATGCATTATTTTTATAATGGCTGGAACCTCATGTACCCATCCTACAACTCCGAAGTTTAACGTGGACCTCTGTATTCTTTTCATCTGAACCCCCTTCCACACCACTATTACAATTTTGCTACCTCACGAATGCCAACATAGTTTCATTTGCAAACATTCCAGTATGTTCATATTTTTTTGTTTTATGAGTATTTACAAACAGGAATTGGTGATCTGTCGTATTAAGCAAAGAGAAGCACATTGGCAAAATTGAAAGGTTCCAAATTCATTACCGAAGCTGCTTCATTATCATCTTAACCTGATCAAATCGTGACCTGTCACAGGCTGACCTTCCCCTGGTGGGAGTCTGCTATGGCTACTGCATGGGTCATGGGAGGAAGCAAGAGGCTTCCTCTTCAAAGGGGAGGCACTCAGAAAAAGAGAGCAGGGGTGGTACCTGCTGCTGGTGGCACCTGCCTTTTGAACTGCCTTGGCGGTCAAAATCTCTGCTGACTCTTCACTTTCTCCTTAGTAACGGTGGTTACAATGATGGCGAGAGTCTTAGGTTCTGTGAAATTCTCTAATGGAACTCCAGTGTCGGTGGAAGGGCCTCCTCATTTTCTTGGAGCTCCTGGAGACCTACTCAGGCCTTTTCTTCTCAACCACAATGTCACTGTCAACAAATCAAAATACAAAAAAGACAAAGACTCACGTGATAAGTGGATGTCCAGAGGCAGCCCAGCTGAAACTTTATTTTGAAAAGTATGATTGACATCTTAGGAATGTCCTGGCACTTACCTAATTTGTATTCAAGAGCTGGAAGCAACTGCTGTCTATGATACTTCAGTTTTAATTATCCAGTTTTTTTTGTTTATATCTTAATGTTAATACATGCCTTGTGTTGGTCTTCCAACTGGCCTTGTAGTTGGACTTAAGCATCTTGTTGGAGACTTTCATGCTCTTCTGTGATCTTTTAATTACTTTATGGATGTGGATCAGCCATAGGATCAGCCATAGGACACCAATGAGTGTTGCAGGAAGCCTTATATTCCTACTTGCTGATCTTGAACTAGACGGGGCTCCGAAGTAACTTACAGCCAAGCACTGGCTCACGTTTGACTCACGTTTTCTTATTCTTACGGTAGATAATGACGTTCACACAAGGGATCATTTGATAATGACGTTCATACAAGGGATCTTTTCTAGATGGTCCCTTAGATCCCACCGGGGACAGCGAACTTGTGGTGAACTTGTTCTCTCAGGTTCTCCCAGTGAAGGACAGAAAGGAATGCTTTGTTGCTTGTCTTAGACGAGGAAAGTCTCCTGGGCGAGTGCCCCCCCCCCCCCCCCCGCACCCCTCTCCCCCCACTCCAGAGCAGAGGCTCCAAACACGTTACCCAGGAGCCTTTATCTGGCTCTGTTGCACCACAGTTGAGGCTAGCCCATCCGTTCCTAGTTTATTTCATAGCTTACTGGGAAGAAGTGGGAAATAGCCACACTGGAAAAATGCAAACGTTTTGGTGTCTGTAATTCCAAAAGTACATGGTTCTAACCAGCTGCAAAATTTTCCGGTGAAGGTTGGACACCGAAGTGGTGATTACAGGATCAACCCAAAAGGAGGGAATTAAGTAACTCAAAGGGCAAGTCGTTTTAATTTGGCATATTCAAATCCACCACTTAGAAATAACCTACCAGTATCTTCTTGGAAACATCCCACGGCGTGCAAATAGGATAAAAAGGTCACTTTTTATTTCTAGGATGCCCTCTCAATGGGATATGTATATATATGTGTGCAAGAAACTAGTAATTATTTTTAACTGACTGAGAATTTCAAACATGCATACCATGTTTTAAAATTGTTCTGTAAAACGTGTTCCATTAAGTCCCGTACATGTTAACTGGGGTTTCCCAGAGCCAATCTCTTGTCATTTCCTGAAGATACACGGACTGATAAGGCGTGCAGCTTGGGGGTTGGGATTCTCTGACTGGGGGAACTGAGCATTCTAGGTGCTATGAGGGCTTTTGTGGTGTGTTTTGGGTGAGTTAGAAGAGACGTCTGCTTTGTTAGCAGGCAGGAGAGGTTCCCTGGGGTGAGCGGAGTCCAGCTTTGTGCGGGTGGGGGTGGGGGGTGGACCGGGCTCAGGAAGCCTCAGAGATGCAGTCTGGGAGCAGGTTGGGAGCAGGCTGGGAGCAGGGGCGTGCAGGGGGTCAGGCTCAGGGGTTGCAGAGCTCACACAGTGTTTGGAAGTGAGCGACTGCTCAGTGGAGAGTGTTGTAAGATGTGGGAAAGGTAAGCAAGGGCCATGTGTGAAGAATTGGGAGGAACTGGAGGGCTTTAATGCAGAGAGAAGGCATGACACCATTTGATGTATTATTATTATTATTATTGTTATTATTATTATTATTTCCGAGACAAGGTCTCTCTGTGTAGCCTTTGTTATCTTGGAACTTGCTTCGTAGACCAGGCTGACCTCGATAGACCAGGCTGGCCTCGAACTCACAGAGATCCACCTGCCTCTGTGCTGAGATTAAAGGCGTGCGCCACCACCGCCCGGCTTGATGTGTGTTTAAATAAGGTTTCTAGGGGCAGAGAAGGTGACAGATGGGACTGGAGGGCACAAGAGATACAAATCTATTGAAGTAGTCTTGGGGAGAAATGGGTCCCATACTAGAATATTTCTCTTATGGTACACTCTACGCTTATGCCCTCCATAATCATTGCCCTCAAAAGGATGCCATCTGTCTGCTTGAGTCCAGGGACCTTTCTGCCTTAGCCATAGACTCTTCTGCTTTTGTGTGGAGCCACACGTTAGTTCCTCTCTTCCTGTGTGCCGGGCTTCTGGGTTTTTCCCACCAGTCTTCCCTGGGCCCATGGGTTTCTCTAACTTCATATCCTAGGGACACTGGGTCTGTCTCTGTCCCCTCCAGTGACTTTTTACACTGCCCCATTTGGCCCTTAGATATTCAAATAGTTGAAGCCACCTATACGTTTAAGATCTAAATACACATTTTAGTGTGTAGTTAAGGCTAGTCCTTTGCACTAAAAAAGCTGTTTAGAATATGTAGACATTAAGATTTTTTTTCATTTGTAAATTTTTTTTTTTTTTTTTTTTTTTTGAGACAGGGTTTCTCTGTGTAGCTTTGCGCCTTTCCTGGAACTCACTTGGTAGCCCAGGCTGGCCTCGAACTCACAGAGATCCACCTGGCTCTGCTTCCCGAGTGCTGGGATTAAAGGTGTGCGCCACCACCGCCCAGCTCATTTGGAAATTTTTAATTGATGAGCTCAGAAAGATTTTCTTTCCTCCCCCCTTCTTTCTTTTCCTTTTATAAGACTGCATTTTATATAGCCCAGGCTAGCCTCAGACTTGTTACATAGCCAACTGTGGCCTTGAATTATTGACCGTTTTCTTTCTACATCTGAGGGCCGAGATGATAGGTTTGCATGACCACCTTGGCTAAGAGTCGCTTTCTTAAAGAGACTTCTTCAAGAAGTAAATTATTGAGACAGAATGTTTTAACAAGTTGCATGCTCCAAAAAACACTTGGACACTCAAAAACAA